AAGCTTGTGAAAAACAACAACACCACTTCAGTCCTAATTTCATGGCTCTGTTTGTGATCTCCAGCCTGGGAAGAAATAGTTGCTTTGACTCAGACATACTCAGATAGATTACCATGCTAATGTGGAAGACGGTCCTGGGATGGAATGTCCTCTGAAGTATATAGACAGCGTAGGCAGGACTGGCAAAATTCACCACATCCCCATTTCCTCTCCTTTCCTCTCATCCCTCTCTTCTCAGCACACTCAAGGAGAGGACAGGATGCATCTACACACTACATGAATAAATTAGGTTCTGTTGTGTCTGATTTGCTGTCTACAAATCACAGCCTGTTGGTACTTGTCATTTATGATGTTGATTGATGCTAAACAAAATGGACATGGCCGGGAGATATTAACCACACAACATACACATTATACATAACACCTAAGCACGCACGCACGCACGCACACACACACACACACACACACACACACACACACACACACACACACACACACACACACACACACACACACACACACACACACACACACACACAGTGTGGAACCTGTTGGCTGTTCTCTGCTCTGGGCTCTGTGATATCTCATAACACATGTAATGTTTCTAGGTCTGCCCCTGTTGGATCCTATTTCACTCACACTGAGGCAGAGTGTGTGTGTGTGTGTGCGCACATGTGTTTGTGTGTGTATATGCATATGTGTGTGTGCATACACGTGCGTCCGTGCTAAAGTGTGTGCGTGCATACATGCCTGTGTTTGTGCGTGTGTATTTTTGTTTTGTGTCTGCGTGTGTGTGTGTTAGAAAGAGGTAGAAAGGCTCTCCTGTAACACATCTCAATCCCCCATGTCTGATTGGTTCTGACAGGGTGATGACCTCATTACGGCTGATGTTTGATTTGTCAGCTGACACTCAGTGACCCGACCTGTTTACCCACACTCCTTTGGGGCACCCCCAATACATTTCTATCTAGACATAGAGAAAAAGCCTGGGGATTCTATTTGGATTTATTTCTGCAGAATTCGGGTGCAGTAATTTGTCACAGAAGGCTAAGCAACTCAGCCTTTTCTGAGAAGAGAGAGAGAGAGAGAGAGAGAGAGAGAAAGAGAGAGAGAAGGCAGGAAGGCAGGGAGGGAGGCTGGAGCGAAATCCTGCTTTGACCTGTACAGAGCAAGTAGCATCCAACGTCCACCAAACGTATGCCAAAGTTCTTTTAAAAATCCTTTCTTTCTCATTCCTCTCTCGCTTTCTTATTCTTCCTCTCTTTCTCTCGAGTCAATTCATGTCTAAGTCCTTTCTTTCTGTCTTTCTCCCTCTCTCTCTGTTGTTCTTATGTCTTACACAACGTCTCATCTCCTTAGTTGCTACATCCATTTTTTGACTTATAAATGAATGATATATACCCATTGATTCTTGAAGAATATAACTCATAAATGCCTCATGAGCTTAGTTCAACTGTCGAACCCCATCAGAACCCAAAATATAAGCTTGCTTTACTCCAATGTTTGTAAACAATGTAAATGTAAACAAACACTGTATAGCCTCAAAACACGGTTAAAACTAGAAATGTGATATCATGGATGAACAGTCATTGCATCCATAGCTCTGTCTATGAATTTGAGAGTGGATTCATTTCTCCCATTCCTCAGCTTTTTACCAAAACAGAGGTGGGGTATCCGCTTTGTTATTGTTTTAATTAATGATTCTAGTTTTAAGTGGTCATAGAGCCTATCTTACGGCCTTATGGTCTTAGGTCCTATCATATCCAGCTTACCGTTTCAGGGGGCTTATAGTGGTAAGTGGACCATGACAGAGCGACATGTGGAGATTACGATGTAATTATGTTGACTGTTAACACTATAGATAGAAGCTTATCACTGAGACCAGGCCATTCAGGGCAAAAATCATTAAACACTGATTTCAGCCCAAGAGTCTGTCGTTGTTAAATAAGTACTTTAGTAATGATTCCTTTTCGTTTAAAATCGTTGACTGCCATTTTGCTTCATTTAATATATTTCCTGTAATTTTTGGCTGCACCTCAACTTTTAATCACTGTCAATCCACAAACACAACCCACTCTGGACATAAGAGTGTGGATGGCTAAGAGATGGACAGGGGGTGAGTGGGGGAAATGTACTGTAGATGTTAATTACCTGTTAAAGGTAACTTGACCAGGAAGTAGACCAGGAAGTAAGAAGCAGAAAGTTTGGAGGGGCGACACAACACTTCGTGTTTTATACTTTTTAAAAACACTTCGCTATACATTTTATACTTTTAGACACTTATATATTTTGTTTTAAGTGTTTTCTTTCGGGACCACGGTGTTAGTGCTGTTCTTAACACACCTTGTTCGGCTCCTGGAACTATCATTAGCAGTCTATCCCCGATTAGCTCTGACTAGCTAGGTTACCTGGCTGTCACCGGCAAAGCTTGTCTCACATCACGGTTGGTTCTTGTAGCCGGGATCACTGTTTCTGACCTGAGTATAAGCATGTCAGACTTTAGTCGTCTCCTCGGTCTACACTACAGGCTTAAATCCTGCTGTTCCTTGATGGATTTGAATTTTTACAATTCTGGGTGAGGCCCAAGTTTTGGATGGCTTGCATCCAAATAGAAGAGGGGCAAGAGTTCTCTCGGGCTACATCGAGGATGCTCTTACAAAACATTGACAAAAAAAAGGCCCAACCCCTGCTCAGGTTACTCCTCCCACTATTACATCATCGTAGTACTACAGATATCCATATTCCCAGGGGTATTGTCAGTAATAATCTTGTGACCATAAAGTTGAATTCCCGCCCGCAATTATTGCTAATAACCCATCCCCAACCGCCCGACTATATGTGATAAAGTGAAAATCTGAGGCCCGCACCCGACCCTAACCCGCTAATATAGATCATGCGCTGTAGGCTACAGTCAGAGACAGCGGAACCATTTTTTTGCCTGCTTTAGATAGCCTATGTTTCTGCTTATAATTTCTGACATTTTGGTAGGCTATGTTTTAGTCAACCTGTTATAATTAGATACATGCAGCTTCTCTTCTGTCATTATATGTTGCCCTAGAAGACTAAGTAAACCCTTGCTCACCAGAATAATGTCATAAATCGATAGAATGAATGCTTCAATCTATCTGACATCGATAAACTTTTCTCTGTCATCTCTGCTTCTTTCGCTGAGGGGCCGGGGAGAAAATGCAATCTAAAAAAAACTGGAAAGATTCTCTGTGAAAAAATTCAGTTAAAATCAGTTTGACCAGTAGTAAGGAAATAGAAAGTTGTGAAAACGAACCAACATGTTTCAAATAAAATAAAATAAAATGTTATTTGTCACATACGCCGAATACAACCTTACCGTGAAATGCTTACTTACAAGCCCTCTGATTTCAGTTATGACTGGATACATAGGCTATTTTATGTGGTTGAAATACTATAGTATGAAAAAAAAATGTATGCACTCCCTAACTGTAAGTCGCTCTGGATAAGAGCGTCTGCTTACTGACTAAAATGTAAAATGTATAAACTTTTATGATGCTGATAAAGATAGCACCTCCACAGACGGTATTTAACTGTGCATACTCATTCTCTCAAGATGCTGAAATAAATAAATCATATTTCTCAAAATGTTGCCGACATTTGGTGTATAATTTTACTGCAAGAAATGCTTCATTCTGCAGGAGGTAATATTAAGGGTGTGAGAGGTTATAGACCTACAGTCAGTGTCCTGATTTCAGTTTCCATTTAACCAATTTGAACAGTAGGCTACAGTTCCCTTGACGTGCCATAGGCCTATTTGAAGTACTGTCTTGTGACTGTCGAATTTGTATAGAGCCTAACACTGCTATCATCCTCTTTTAACACTTCACCAAATCTCTCCCAAACATTACTTTTCTGGCCCTCCTCTTTATTTTCAACTCTCCATTTCGCAGCTTTTCTCTTATTGAATTAAACTCCGACATTGTCCCTTTTTGCCTCCATGGATCGACGTTACATTTTTCTGCCCGTCCCCAAAAGCATTTGGCGACCCTCTAAAAAGAAATCACACCGGTTGGATGCCACAGTCCAATCAAAATTAGATAACGCATATAGAAATAAAGATATTTATAAAGAGATAGAATATCATCCCAAATTATTTTAACCCGTTCCCATGTTCAATGCCAGTGCAAAATCAAATATTTGAAAACATCGTACAGAAAGGCCAAGGATTGTAATAGCAGGAGTGGGAACGGGAGAACCCAATGCCCATTTTATTCTGCGCTGGAAGCAGTATTGGGTGACCATCCCACCACCCACCCACCGTTCATTCTGGACAGTGCTGTGGAGGATAGAGATATTGAGCTGCTGAGTGCTTTCTACACTTTTGTGTAATGTGAAGAATAGTCTAATTCAGTTGCTATATCAGATTTGAAAATAATAGGCTTCAGTAATATTATAGCCTACAGTGGCATGTCTATGGAAATGTTATAGAAGTCTACTCTGGCTCGATCTTAAGGTACAGGTGGAAATGAGGCCTACACATTATACCTTGCCGTACACTTGTGCTGTGACTCCATCATAGTCCGTCCCCTGATCCCTAATACATTTGTAGTTCAGTTTAAATTCTGTAATGCGAGTATTTCAGTCTATCAACTCTCGATTAATAAAATAGACTCTGTTACTAAATTATCACTGTCATTCTTTCAGCATGTCACATTTTTGTTGCTTTGGTAAAACAGTTTAGGCCTATAAGCCTACTAAATAACAATCTGACCCCTGAAATATGATGCAATCCTTTTAGATTTTATTACATTATATTCTGTGAATCTTTGAGCATTTTCCAGCCAAATCACTAGCAATAAAGTGCAGAAGAGACGTAAATGTGCAAAGCTTTCTGTAAGCAGGAGTGACAACACCTCCACGATTACAAATCATTCGGAATAGAACAAAGAGCATGAGATGTATGTCCAATATATATGAAGGCCTTGATTGCCTGGCAGTGAAGAAGAGTGAGGGTGAGGGGGTGAGAAGGATCAGCGGGATGAGAGGGTGTGAGATGGGATGAGGGAGGCAAGAGGGGGTGAGAGAGGCGAGAGGTGAGTTCTATACCTGTCAAAGTCCCCGTTGCAGAGTGCTCTGACTGGAATGGTGAATGACTGCCACACTGGATTCAACGTATTCTTCACCACCTCTGTCTTATGGCAGATAGTAAACCTGCAGGAGAGAGTGAGGGGATAGAGGGAGGGAGGTAGGGAGAGAAAGAGAGAGAGAGAGAGAGAGAGAGAGAGAGAGAGAGAGAGAGAGAGAGAGAGAGAGAGAGAGAGAGAGAATTACTTGACACATTGGAAAGAACAAACAAATAAACAGAGCAAACTAGAATGCTATTTGGCCCTAAACAGAGAGTACACAGTGGCAGAATACCTGACCACTGTGACTGACCCAAACTTAAGGAAAGCTTTGACTATGTACAGACTCAGTGAGCATAGCCTTGCTATTGAGAAAGGCCTCCGTAGGCAGACCTGGCTCTCAAGAGAAGACAGGCTATGTGCACACTGCCCACAAAATGAGGTGGAAACTGAGCTGCACTTCCTAACCTCCTGCCAAATGTATGACCATATTAGAGACACATATTTCCCTCAGATTACAGCGATCCACAAAGAATTCGAAAACAAACCCAATTTTGATAAACTCCCTTATCTACTGGGTGAAAAACCACAGTGTGCCATCACAGCTGCAAGATTTGTGACCTGTTGCCACAAGAAAAGGGCAACCAGTGAAGAACAAACACCATTGTAAATACAACCCATATTTATGTTTATTTATTTTCCCATTTGTACTTTAACTATTTGCACAGTGTTACAACACTGTAAATATACATAATATGACATTTGAAATGTCTTTATTCTTTTGAAACTTCTGAGTGTAATGTTTACTGTTAATATTTATTGTTTATTTCACTTTTGTTTACTATCTACTTCACTTGCTTTGGCAATGTTAACACACGTTTCCCATGCCAATAAAGCCCTTGAATTGAAATTGAAATTGAATTGAGAGAGAGAGAGAGAGAGAGAGAGAGAGAGAGAGAGAGAGAGAGAGAGAGAGAGAGAGAGAGAGAGAGAGAGAGAGAGAGAGAGAAAAGGGCAGGAGTTGGGCAGGAGTAAAGAAAGAGACAGGAAATAAGAGAAGAGCAGAGGGGAAGAGAAAGATATGTGAGGAGAGAGACAGACACAGACATAATATATCCGGTTAGAAGACAATTCATTGTGTTGAAAACAACAGCAACTTCATAATTGCAACAGTGTATAATCTGTTTTGTTTACTGACATCGCTGTCCAAACACAGCTTTGTGTTTTGGCCTTCACTTTTATAATGACTCTCTCCTCCCTTACACAGGTGCGATATCAATTTGCATATTGTTTTGATACCAGAATACCTTTCCTAACCGGGACCGCACACCAACCCTGTGTGTCCACCCACCACAGTTCTGCTTGAGCAGATCTAGATTTGCACAATATTGTGTGTGTTCCCTCTTTTATCCTGAGCCGTGGGATTGATTTACTCTTGCCTCGTTGCCTTTAGTCCTTCGGCCATTAGAACAGCATGGTCCCTTTAGCTGCATCCGCCAATAACTCATTTATGTGCGTGTTTGTGTGTGTGCGCCGTGCCGTGCCGCACGCAAATTTGTCCCTCTCCTTTCTCCTACACAGACACTTTTAGCACATCTGTACTGGCCACTTTCCCCTCTTGTCACTTTAAGAAATGCCTGAATGAAGATAACAGCTAAGAAGTGCAGGCTCTCTCTAAACCAGCGGCCCTTAAATGGTCTGACACCGCTTGCTGTAAGGGCCTCTGGGACAACAGAGTGCACTCTGGTAGCCTGTTAGGGGATTGGGAGGTGTTGTATAGAGCGGTCCCTCTGGGTATGGCTCATGCATACACACATGCACACATACACACATACACACACACACTGGAAGCCTGTTAAGGAATGGGGAGGTGTTGTCTGGTCCCTGGTGGGTTTGGCTCAGACCTGCTGGTGTGTTTAATTTATTTATACAAAGACCTGTTGGCCTTCTGTTTGTTCTCTCTAATTGCATTCTCCACCGCATCATTTGTCACACTGTAGCGATACAGTAAACCAGTGTGATTGATAATGGAGTCGTTCCATGTCATTCCAACAAGCAAAGACACCCACCATTGTTCTGATATAGTTTAGAAACAGATGAGATTAGCATTCCTGCAACATTATTTTGTTGAAATATAATTTGATCTCTGAGAAATTAAGCTAATTGATTGCATCCAAATTTGACATTTTAATTTATAGGATTCATAAAATATTTAATAAATATAGTACCTAGCGAAAATGTTTCTAGCAATGAGTAAGACATGAGGAATCCAAATAAATGGTCAAAAGCCACCCACAGACCTCCCACTGTCACGCCCTGACTCTAGGGACTTATTTGTTGAGTCAGGGTGTGTATTTTCTGTGTTGGGTTTGTCTATGTTAGTTTCTAGATCGTTTAGATCTATGTTGGCCAGGGTGGTTCCCAATCAGAGGCAGCTGTAGCTCGTTGTCTCTGATTGGGGACCATACTTAGGTAGCCTGTTGGCACTAGTGGGTTGTGGGATCTTGTTCCGTAAAGGTATGTTGTTTGTATGCTACCTTGGACTTCACGTTTCGTTTGTTGTTTTGTCGTGTGTTTAGTCGTTAATAAATATGAATGCATATCACGCTGCGCCCTGGTCCTTCTCGTTCATGAACGATCGTGACAGAAGATCCCACCAATCCTGGATCAAGCAGCGTGACGAGGAGAGAGGATGGACTTGGGAGGAGATGAGCGAGAGTCTGGCAAGAGGGATGGAGGCCATGATCACGGGGGAGAGACAAGCCCAAAAATGTTTTAGGGGGGGGCTCACGCCGTGGACGACGAGGCAGCAGGAGGCCGCGATAGAGCGGATCAGCCGTTTAGCAGAGGAGGCCGCCAGATTAAGGGGGTCATTGGTTCAGAGGGAGCAGAAGGAAAGTGTAGAGGCACGGCGAGAGGAGCTGGTTAGGCAGCAGAAGGAGCGGGGGTTAATGAAGGAACCCAGTCCCGCTCCTCGCACCAATCGAGTGGTGCGTGTCGCCAGTCCGGTCCGGCCCGTTCCTGATTCCTGCACTAAGCCAGTGGTGGGTGTTCCCAGTATGGTTCGGCCTGTTCCTGCTCCTGCATCAAGCCAGTGGTGCGCGTCGCCAGTCCGGTCCGACCTGTTCCTGTCCCTCGCACCAAGCCAGTGGTACGCGTCGCCAGCCCGGCCCGGCCTGTTCCTGCTCCCCGCACCAGGCCAGTGGTGCGCGTCGCCAGTCCGGTACGGCCCGTTCCTGCTCCCCGCACCAAGCCAGTGGTGCGCGTCGTCAGCCCAGTCCGGCCCGTTCCTGCTCCCCGCACCAGGTCCAGTGGTGCGCGTCGCCAGTCCGGTATGGCCCGTTCCTGCTCCCCGCACCAAGCCAGTGGTGCGCGTCGTCAGCCCAGTCCGGCCCGTTCCTGCTCCCCGCACCAAGCCAGGGGTGCGCGTCGTCAGCCCAGTCCAGCCCGTTCTTGCTCCCCGCACCAAGCCAGTGGTGCGTGTGTCCAGTCCGGCACGGCCCGTGCCTGTTCCACCGGTGCCTGGTCCGGCACCGGTCAGCTGCTCCACTCCGGAGTCAGAGCAATCCGCTCCACCGGGGTCCAGTCCAGCTCCGGTCAGCGGCTCTACTCCGGAGCCAGAGCAGTTCGATCCACCGTCGTCGGGTCCAGCTCCAGTCAGCGGTTCCAGTCCAGACCCAGACGTCAGCCTCTCTCCAGGTTAGGGGTCTCCCACACCAGGGTCCAGACAGGGCGTGGTACTTCGTGGGAGGAAGGAGAGAGGAAGCAGCGCGCCAAGGTCCAGACCAGACCAGGGGCGCAACGGGGAGGTGGAGAGTAAGTGGTGGTCACACCCGGAGCCGGATCCGGCCCCTACCCTGTTAGGTTTATGTGGCGCGGTTGGAGTCCGCACCTTTGGGGGGGGGGGTACTGTCACGCCCTGACTCTAGGGACTTATTTGTTGAGTCAGGGTGTGTATTTTCTGTGTTGGGTTTGTCTATGTTAGTTTCTAGATCGTTTAGATCTATGTTGGCCAGGGTGGTTCCCAATCAGAGGCAGCTGTAGCTCGTTGTCTCTGATTGGGGACATACTTAGGTAGCCTGTTGGCACTAGTGGGTTGTGGGATCTTGTTCCGTAAAGGTATGTTGTTTGTATGCTACCTTGGACTTCACGTTTCGTTTGTTGTTTTGTCGTGTGTTTAGTCGTTAATAAATATGAATGCATATCACGCTGCGCCTTGGTCCTTCTCGTTCATGAACGATCGTGACACCCACACCCTACGCCAATCCCAAACCAACAATGAGTATACAGTATCAGTTCTCTATGTCTGACAAGTAGTATGGCGCTGCAGCTTGGAGTATTGTTTCTTCATCCTATGTAATGTATTCTCAGTGAATTTGGTGAATGTTATTTTTTTTCCATGTTCAGAGAATTTTGTCATTGAAGTTGTTAGGTTTATGTCCCATCCTACATCCTGATATTATCAGGTTATGACCACTAGGTGGTGCTGTTCCTGCTATTAGGTGATTTTTATTAATCCCCCCTCAATGTTAAAGGGATAGTTCACCCAAATTACACTATTACATATTGGTTTCCTTACACTGTAAGCAGTGTATGGACAGGTACTACAGCAACCCATGATTTGGTTTTGTTTACCTGGCCACTGTTTTAAATGCTAACTTTTTAGCATTTGTGGCACAAATCCAATGCAAGTCAATGGTACCTATTAGCATTTTTGCTCTTCATATCCACATTTTCTATAAGTAACACCATTGAGTTACACAATACATTTGTTGATACTTTAGCATGACTTGGACATGAAGTGTGAAAATGCTAACATAGGTACCATAACCAAATCATGGGTTGCTGTCATACCATAGAATGCTTACAGGGTAAGGAAACTGATATATAATTTTGTAATTCGGGTGAACTATCCCTTTAACCCCGAGTGGCGCAGTGGTCTAAGGCGCTGCATCGCAGTGCTAGCTGTGCCACTAGAGATCCTGGTTCGAATACAGGCTCTGTCGTAGCCGGCCGCGACCGGGAGACACATGGGGCGGCGCGCACAATTGGCCCAGCGTCGTCCAGGGATGTAGCTCAGTTGGTAGAGCATGGCGTTTGCAACGCCAGGTTGTGGGTTCGATAAAATAATGTATGCACTAACTGTAAGTCGCTCTGGATAAGAGCGTCTGCTAAATGACTAAAATGTAAATGTAAACATTGAGGGGTTGATACTTTAAACTTTGTTCACGTAATAGCAGGAACAGCACCATCTAGTGTTCAGAACATGATAATATCAGGATGTAGGATGGGACATAAACATAACTTCAATTACAAATTTCTCTGAACGTGGGAAAAAAAATCACCAAATTCACTGGGAATACATTACATAGGATGAAGAAACAATACTCTGACACTACTTAACAATGCCCTGAGTTCCTTTACATTAAGAATTGACGTTTCTACGAGGACGGAAGACAGTGTTTTTGTGTAACTGCAGGGAGAGAATGAATGTTGAGGATGAATTAAGAAACTTCCTGTTCTCACAGGAAGATGAACATCAACACAGGGCATCCCTGTAAGGTCACACTTGGTTGTGTGCAAGGATGGTTAGCTAGCTCAATCGCAGTCAACTGGGGCGTCATGGTTATGTGAGGGCTGTAGGTAATGCTTTTCTATGGAAGAAAAGCCTTGTTCTCTGTGGGACCAAGAGTTACTTTCACATGGTCAGATGTAGGCTTGCATCGGGAGTGTCTGTTGAATGATCCCATGCGAGAATTTTGTTTCTAGCCTCAACCATTATGCTGATGTCACTCAAAAGCACATTAACTGTAGATCAGGCTTCAAGTGAGGCCTACCTTTCTTTCATGTAATGGGGGGAGGGGCAAATTAATTAATTGTTCATTGGATTAAGGTTAGGGTTATGTCTAGGGTTGAGGCCCTAACCCTAACTCTAGCTTCATATCCACATCCCGGCTCAACCCTAAACCTAGCCTCAACCCTAACCCTAGCTTCATATAAAATCTTGGCTCAACCCTAACTCTAACCCTGACCCTAACCTTAACCCTCACTTTATCTCTACATCTTGGCGCAACCCTTCTGTAGATGTCACTCCAGGTCAGGTTTCAAGTGAGGTCTACCTTTCTGCCATGTAGTGGGAAGGTTAGGTTAGGGTTGAGGCCCTAAACCTAGCTTCATGTCCATTCCCCGCTCAACCCTAACCTTAACCATAACCCAAACCCTCTCTTCATCTCTACATCTTGACTCAACCCTAACCCTAGCCATAACCCTAACTTCTTGTCCACATTCCAGGTCAACCATATCTCCAAGAGCTGAGCCAAGATGTGGAGGGCTAGGGTTAGGGCTAGGGTTAGGGTTGAGCCGGAATGTGGACATGAAGCTAGGGTTAGGGTGAGGTTTAGGGTTGAGTTAGAGTTTGCCTGCCTCCCTGCCTACCTGTGAGTTTATATGTCTGTCTGCCTGCCTGCCTGTCTCTACTTCTGTTGGAGTTGTATTCTGTATTTATGTCTGTCTGCTGCCTGCTGCCTGTCTCCTCTCTCTTCTGTGAGTGGATGTCTGTCTTCTGAGTTCTATATTCTGTCTGTCTGCATCCTACTGATCCTCTTCTCTCTCTCTCTCTCCTCCCTCTCTCCTTCTCTCCTCTCCTCTCTCTCTCTCTCTCACTCTCTGCCTGTCTGTCTGTCTGTCTGTCGGTCTGTCTGTCTGTCTGTCTGTCTGTCTGTCTGTCTGACTTAGTCTTTCACCAATTTACCCATGGCAGCTCTATCCCCAACTTTGTATTGACTTATGCGCCAATAATCTTGATGCATATCGATGCGTCAATATCCTGTCTGTGGCGGTGGGAAAGTGGAGAGAGAGATGGAGGTGGGAGAGAAATAGATTAGAAGGAGGGGGGAAGAAGGAGGGAGATAGAATGGAGGGGTAGGAGGGAGAGCGAGAGAAAGGGGAGCGAGAGAGGGAGAGGGTGAAGAAGGGAGGGGGGAAAGAGATAGAAGAGAGAGAGGGAAGGAGGTAGAGAGTGGAGGGTGTCAAGTATGTGATGCCTTTCTCTATGCATCCATATTGTGATGCTCATCTTCCCCCATTGAATGCAATGTATTCACTTAGGCATCAACCCTGTGACACTCATCTTTTCCCATTGTCTGCAATGTATTGACATAAGCATCAACCCTGTGACACTCATCTTTTCCCATTGACTGCAATTTATTGACATAAGATTCGATTGGTTGAAGCTTATCTTTTCACATTGACTGCAATGTATTGAGATAAACATAAACCCTGTGACACCCATATTTTCCTATTGACTGCAATGTTTTAGGATAAATGTAAACCCTGTGACAATCATCTTTTCCCATTGATTGAAATGTATTGAGAAAAACGTCAGCTACTGTGACAATTTATCTTTTTGCAAAAACGTGCCAGGATGACATTTTCAGGCTGATAATGGGATGGGATTCCTCATGTCTAAGTCATTGTTAGAAAAAAAGTTTGGTTCAATTCGGATGTTAGGTACTATATTTATTGAATATGATATGAATCCTATAAATTAAAATGGCCAATTTGGGTGCAATCAATTAGCTTAATTTCTCAGAGATCAAATTATATTTCAACAAAATAATGTTTCAGAAATTCTAATCTTATCTGTTTTTTAACAACAGAAACTATATCAGAACAATCTGAGATGGTGGCTGTCGAAATCCTCTTTCTTGTGCTTTGTGAGGTGGAACGACCCAGTGGGTTGTGCTTACATTGGCAAAGCTGCATCGGTGGAGTTACAGTAAGTAAGCAAGGTTAACTTTAGGGCTTCAGTCCTTAATTGGCTCAAAAGAGCGCCTGCTCTCTTGTGCTTCATCCCTTTCTTACTCTTTCATTTGTCACACTGTAGAGCAGGGATCATCAACTAGATTCAGCTGTGGGACGATTTCTTCTTGAGCGCATGGTCAGGAGGCCAGAACATAATTACAAATAATTTGTAGACTGCAAATTGACCGCAAGAAGCCCAAACAGATGACTAAAACATAATCACTTAAAACCTTGCTTACATTTGTACACAATCACATATACAGTATCTCTCTTTTATGCGTGTTAATACTTCTGAACAGATTTCCAAAATTAAAATCACTTGGAGCTGATTTGCTGGTCTTTTTACAGTCTTTTATGTCCAACAATTATTCTAAGTTTGTTAAGTACATTTTGTTTGCTTTTTCTCTGCACCCCTCCCTCTCTCGCCCCCTACACCCTTCTTCCTGCGTTCCCCCCACCTTGCTTAGACTACCAACTGCCTCTCTCTTTGCTGTCTCCTGTGCTGTTCTGAAAGACTGGAACACTACCAAAGCTTCTTCTAAAGGCTGTACCATGAAACACTGGAGCTCTACCTAAGGCTTTGAGATCTCAAAGAGACGTGTGTCACTCCTTTGGGTCTGGTGTTGCTTTGAAACCACTTCTAGTTCTGCTACAAGCATCTCCTATCCTAGGCCTTCTCTCTCCCTCTGTCAGGCTCTGTCAGTCTCTGTCAGGTAGCTTTACAACAGAACATCGATACAGAATCAGGATCCAGAATCACAGAACACATCAGAGACTTACGTTCCGTCTTCGTTGCTCCTGTAGAACACCATGAAAGGATCTGACTTGCCAAAGAAGTCCTTCTTGTCCAGTTTGTTGGCACAGAACTGCATCGTCGCGCTGTCCTTTGAGGGTGCGGGGAGAGAGAGAGAGAGAGAGGAGTGAGAGAGAGAGAGGAGCAGAGCAGGACGAGAGAGAGAGAGGGAGAGAGGCGGAGACGAGAGATGAGAGGGGCGGACGAGAGGAGAGAGGAGAGGAGAAGGAGGACGAAGAGGAAGAGAGGAGAGAAAAACAAAGGATTCAGTTGATTAATATTGTTATTTATGCTTCTTTTCCCTGTTTGTTGTAGTCACGCTGTCAGTCATCTGTTTGTGTGTCAAATAAAAGACGACATGCATTTTGCATTCAAATCAATTCAACGGTACTGCCACAATTACAACCAAGCCACCTCCATGTCAATGTGTATGTTTGTTTGTGTTTGTGTGTGTGTCTATGTGTGTGTGTGCATGTGCGTGTCCGTGTGCGAGCGCACATTTGTGCTTGTGTTTAATCTCTTGCAGTAGGATGAATATGAGCGCTCATTAGGGGTACACCAGGAGCTCTTGGGAGAAACAGAGCCACATAAATTCTACGGTAATGATGCCTACAAACCAACCCTACTCATCACCATGTTCCAGAGAAGGACTGTGTTCCAGAGAAGGACTGTGTCCCAGATATTCCCTACATGCACATGAAAGTAGTGCACTATATAAGGAATAGGGTGCCATTTGGGATGCAGTCAAGGATGATGTAACAACCTCTATCTCCCTGATGCTTAGGTCAATCTCTGATGGTTGGGGGGAATGGTGAGGATGTGTGTGTGTGTGTGTGTGTGTGTGTGGGACATGCTCTCCAACTAGTCAGTAATCCCCAGTCTAACCAACACTGATGCCACTGGCCTGTATGACTGATTCTAAAGAGCAACATGAGTAAAACTCTTTAAATCAGACAGTCCCACTAATGTCCTCTCAGACCTGTCACAGACAGCAGACACTGTGCCTGATCGTTGACAATCACTAATGATAGTCAGACAAATAACCCTCCCTCCCATAGTGCTGGTAGTCTTTAATAGTTGATTCTAAGATTTGCATTTGATCATGTATATTTTTTTGCTGTTTGTTCTTTGTTATAGGGCCAAAAAGATTGGAGAAGTGGTTTACCCATACATCTCCGTTTTGGATAGATAACTATTTCTCTCTCTCTCTGTCCCTCTCTTTCTCTCTCTCCCCCTGTCACGGATTTAGCCGAGGCTGCTCCTTCTCCTTGCTCGGGCAGGCTTCGGCATTCGTCGTCCCCGGAGTACTAGCTACTGCCGATCGATGTTTCGGTGTTTGTCTTGTTTGGTCTTTATTGTTTACACCTGTTTCCCATTATGTTGGATTGTATTCCCTATATTAACCCCTGTCTCTCATTGGTATTTTGTGTGTTATTGTTTGTTGTCATTCCGGCTGTTTTGTATGTACAGGTCTTTGTGCTTTCCTCCCTGTTTTGGAGGTTTTGTTGTTTTGTACGTTTATTTTACTGTGTTCAGTAAAAGACGTTGCCAGCCGCTCTGTGCCCTGCTTTTGACTTCGCTACCGCATACACGTCGCGTGACAGAATAACACACCCAAGACATGGAGTCAGCAGGAGTGGCTGTGCCAGCTGGATCACTGGAGGAGCGCGTTATACAGCAAGCGGACATGATCCAGGATCTCGGCACCGCCATGGAAGGGGTGATGAACACCTTGAGGCGATGGGAAAGAGGAGGTTTGCCCACACCTCCTCCAACGATACCACCACCATCAGCTATGCCCATCGCTTCACCTCCGGAGTCCAGTGGGATTCGGCTCTCGCTCCAGAGGGCTTATGATGGCACCGCGGCCGGGTGTCAGGGTTTCCTGCTCCAAGTGGAACTCTACCTGGCAACCGTCCACCCGGTGCCCTCGGGATACGAGAGCATGTCCGCCCTCATCTCCTGTCTGTCCGGCAAGGCACTGGAGTGGGCCAACGCCGAGTGGGGGGGAATAGACGCCACTACAGTCAACTATGCAGAGTTCACCCGCCGCTTCAGGGCGGTGTTTGATCATCCCCCAGAGGGGAAGGCGGCGGGTGAGCGTCTGTTCCACCTCAGACAGGGGAAGAGGAGCGCGCAGGAGTTTGCACTGGACTTCCGGACTCTGGCTGCCAATGCGGGATGGAATGAGAGGGCCCTCATCGACCACTACAGGTGCAGCCTAAGGGAGGACGTTCGTCGAGAGTTGGCCTGCAGGGACACCAACCTAAGCTTCGATCAGCTGGTGGACATGTCGATTCGCCTAGATACCCTGTTGGCTACCCGCGGATGTCCGGAGTCGGGGCCGTCCATTCCATCCCCCAGCACTTCCGAGCCGAGCCCTATGGAGCTCGGGGGTGCTGGTGCTAGGGAGACGAGGAGAGAGACCAGGAGAGAGGCCGTCCCCTGCACCAACTGTGGCCGCAGAGGACACACTGCGGTTCGGTGCTGGGGAGGGTCTCCTAGGAATCGAGGCAGTAGGCAACGCACTGATGAGTCATTCCAGGCGAGTAAGCACCCAACTCACCCAGAGCTCTCTGTTGTACATATGTGTATTAAAGTTGTGTTTCCCGAGGTTTCTTCTCACTCCCAGCATAAGGCGCTAGTAGATTCAGGCGCAGCTGGGAATTTTATTGATCGCCGGTTCACCTATAAGTTAGGGATTCCCATTGTACCAGTTGATGTGCCCTTCCCCATCCATGCCCTAGATAGCCGCCCTTTGGGGTCGGGATTGATTAGGGAGGTCACAGCGCCACTTAAGATGAAGACGCAGGAGGGCCATGAGGAGATTATACAGTTGTATTTGATTGACTCTCCTGCGTTTCCCGTGGTGTTGGGGCTTCCCTGGTTAACATCTCATGACCCCAACATTTCATGGCAACAGATGGCTCTCAAGGGATGGTCTGATCAGTGTGTCGGGCGGTGTGTAGGTGTTTCCGTAGGGGCAACGACGGTGGAAAGTCCTAACCAAATTCCCACCATGCACATTCCTCCTGAGTATGCCGATTTGGCACTCGCCTTCTGTAAAAAGAAGGCGACTCAATTACCACCTCATCGACAGGGGGATTGTGCGATAGACCTCCAGGTAGGCGCTGCGCTTCCTCGTAGTCATGTGTATCCTCTGTCTCAGGAGGAGACGGCAGCTATGGAGACATACGTCACCGAATCTCTGAGACAGGGATACATACGGCCGTCCACTTCCCCTGCATCCTCAAGTTTCTTTTTTGTGAAGAAGAAGGATGGGGGCTTACGCCCGTGTATTGATTACCGTGGTCTCAATCAGATTATTAATCAAATACAGCTATCCTCTCCCTCTGATTGCTAGTATGACGGAGTCATTACACGGGGCGCGATTTTTCACAAAATTGGATCTCAGGAGCGCGTACAACCTGGTGCGCATTAGGGAGGGAGATGAGTGGAAGACAGCATTCAGTACCACCTCGGGTCACTATGAGTACCTCGTCATGCCATACGGTTTAATGAATGCTCTTTCAGTCTTCCAATCATTTGTGGACGAGATTTTCCGGGATTTGCATGGACAGGGTGTAGTGGTGTATATTGATGACATTCTAATATACTCCGCTACACGAGCCGAGCATGTGTCCCTGGTACGTCGGGTGCTGGGTAGACTGTTGGAGCATGACCTGTATGTGAAGGCGGAGAAATGTCTGTTTTTCCAGGAGTCCATCTCCTTCCTGGGACATCGGTTGTCCGCGTCAGGGGTGGAGATGGAGATTGACCGCGTTTCAGCCGTGCGTTATTGGCAGACTCCCACCACGGTGAAGGAGGTGCAGCGGTTTTTGGGTTTTGCCAATTACTACCGGAGGTTTATCCGGGGCTTTGGACAGGTAGCAGCTCCCATCACCTCCCTGCTAAAGGGGGGCCCGGTGCGTTTGCAGTGGTCGGCTGAGGCGGACAGGGCGTTTAAACATCTGACGGCCCTGTTCACCTCGGCTCCGGTGCTGGCACGTCTGGATCCCTCTTTGGCGTTCCAAGTTGAGGTGGATGCGTCCGAGGCGAGGATCGGTGCCATACTGTCTCAGCGCTCGGGCACGCCTCCAAAACTCCGCCCCTGTGCTTTCTATTCCAAGAAGCTCAGTCCGGCGGAACGCAATTATGACATGGGGGACAGGGAGTTGCTAGCGGTGGTCCAAGCCCTGAAGGTGTGGAGGCATTGGCATTCTGACTGACCATCGTAACCTGGAGTACATCCGGGCAGCGAGGAGACTGAACCCTCGTCAGACTAGGTGGGCCATGTTTCTTACCCGGTTTGTATTTAAGCTCACTTATATACCAGGGTCACAGAACGCTAAGGCAGACGCCCTGTCCCGATGATATGACACAGAGGAGAGGTCCATTGAGCCCACTCCCATACTTCCGGATTCTTGTCTGGTGGCAACGGTGGTGTGGGAGGTCGATGCGGAAATCGAGCGGGCGTTACGTGCCGACCCTACTCCCCCAGAGTGTCCAGAGGGGTGGAGGTACGTGCCGCTCGAGGTCCGTGATCGACTGATATATTGGGCTCACACGTCACCCTCCTCTGGTCATCCTGGTATTGGTCGGACAGTGCACTGCCTTAGCGGGAAGTACTGGTGACCCACCTTAGCTAGGGACGTGAGGGTTTACGTTTCTTCCTGCTCGGTGTGCGCCCAGTGTAAGGCGCCTAGACACCTGCCCAGAGGGAAGTTACAACCTCTACCCGTTCCACAACGGCCGTGGTCTCACCTATCGGCGGATTTTGTCACGGACCTTCCCCCCTCCTAGATGAATACCACGATCTTGGTCGTTGTGGATCGGTTTTCTAAGGCCTGCCATCTCATTCCTATGCCAGGTCTTCCTACAGCCCTACAAATGGCCGACGCCCTGTTTACTCACGTCTTCCGGCACTACGGGGTGCCTGAGGATTTAGTGTCTGATCGGGGTCCCCAGTTCACCTCTATAGTCTGGAGGGCGTTTATGGAACATTTGGGGGTCTCGATTAGCCTTACCTCGGGTTTTCACCCTGAGAGTAATGGGCAGGTGGAGAGAGTAAACCAGGATGTGGGTAGGTTTCTGAGGTCCTATTGCCAGGACCGGCAGGAGGAGTGGTCTGGGTATATCCCCTGGGCAGAGATAGCCCAAAACTCACTCCGCCACTCCTCCACTAATCTTACGCCTTTTCAGTGTGTGCTGGGTTATCAGCCGGTCCTGGCACCCTGGCATCAGAGCCAGATCGAAGTCCCTGCGGTGGATGAGTGGTTTCGGCGCTCAGAGGAAACATGGAACGCTGCGCATGTCCATCTGCAGCGGGCTATCAGACGGCAAAAGGCGAGCACCGATCGCCACTGCAGTGAGGGTCCGGTTTATGCACCGGGAGATCAGGTCTGGCTCTCGACCCGAAACCTGCCCCTTCGCCTGCCCTGCCGGAAGCTGGGTCGGCGGTTTGTGGGGCCATTTAAAGTCCTGAGGAGATTGAATGAGATATGTTATCGGTTACAACTGCCCATTAAATACCGCATTAACCCCTCGTTCCATGTGTCTCTCCTCAGGCCGGTGGTAGCTGGTCCACTCCAGGAGAATGAGATACGAGAGGCTCCTCCGCCCCCACTAGACATCGAGGGGGCTCCGGCGTACTCAGTCCGTTCCATCGTGGATTCGAGGCGTCGGATGGGGGGCTGCATTATCTTGTGGAGTGGGAGCGGTATGGTCCGGAGGAATGGTGCTAGGTCCCTAGGAGGGACATCCTAGATCCCTCCCTGTTGAGGGATTTCCACCGGAGTCATCCGACTCGCCCTGCTCCGCGTCCTCCTGGCCGTCCACGAGGCCGGGGTCGGCGCACGGCTGGAGCCGCGCGTCAAGGGGGGGGGGATACTGTCATGGATTCAGCCGAGGCTGCTCCTCCTCCTTGCTCGGGCAGGCTTCGGCGTTCGTCGTCCCCGGAGTACTAGCTACTGCCGATCGATGTTTCGGTGTTTGTCTTGTTTGGGTCTTTATTGTTTACACCTGTTTCCCATTATGTTGGATTGTATTCCCTATATTAACCCCTGTCTCTCATTGGTATTTTGTGTGTTATTGCTTGTTGTCATTCTGGCTGTTTTGTATGTACGGGTCTTTGTGCTTTCCTCCCCGTTTTGGAGGTTTGTTGTTTTGTACGTTTATTTTACTGTGTTCTGTAAAATACGTTGCCAGCCGCTCTGTGTCCTGCTTTTGACTTCGCTACCGCATACACGTCGCGTGACACCCCCCTACTCTTCCATCATCACAGGTGTAGGCCTGTCTGCCAAGTTGCAAATGAAATTGTTATTACATCACCAAAACGTTATTATAGCTAAAACATTCCAAGACAATTACCATTAAAGGAGAAGTTTACTTTTGTACAACGAAATCTTTCGATTTTTTTAACTTACCCCACTCGCGATACACTTCCTCATTGCGCATTCTGCAGTATGGGGGTTGCAATAAACATGAACACAGGCTCCAAAAACACCAAATAGAAATTGCAAAGCTCTCAATAGAGTGATGCAGGGTCTTTAGATGTTGTACACATGAAATTGTGTCATTCCGAACTTTATCTGCAATGTTATATTCCATTTTGTTTGCGACTTGAGCGAAACCTCTATGTCCATTCTAGCAGCAGGCTACACAGAGAATGGAACAGCTGGATAGGGGAAACCACTTGAGTTGCACAAAATGGGGTATAACGTTGTGGATAAAGTTTGGAATCACATAATTTAATGTGAACAACATCTAAAGACCTGCATCACTGCATTTCCAGTTCTAAAATTGCGTATTTGGGTGAAGAACGAGGATGAGGAAGTGTCTCGCTGGTTGGGATAAGTTTCTCAAAAACAAGTGAAATCACAAAGAAATGATGTCTGGACACTTCTATAACATGCCTTTTACATCCAAAATACAGAATTGGTTGTAAAAAAGTTAACTTCTCCTTTAAGAATGTAAATTAGCAGGAAGACTTGAATAATTCAAGCGTTATTCTAAATTTGACTGGAACATGTTCCAGGATTTATCCAATGGCATTGAGGAGTATACCACCTCAGTTACCGGCTTCATCAATAAGTGCATCGATTATGTCGTCCCCACAGTGGCAGTACGTACATATCCCAACCAGAAGCCATGGATTACAGGCAACATCCGTACCGAGCTAAAGGCTAGAGCTGCCGCTTTCAAGGAGCGGGACACTAATCTGGATGCTTATAAGAAATCCCGCTATGCCCTCATACGAACCATCAAACAGGCAAAGCGTCAATACAGGGCTAAGACTGAATCCCACTACACCTGCTCTGACGCTCGTCGGATGTGGCAGGGCTTGCAAACTATTACAGACTACAAAGGGAAACCCAGCCGCGAGCTGCCCAGTGACGCGAGCCTACCAGACGAGCTAAATGCCTTTTATGCTCGCTTCGAGGCAAGCAACACTGAAAAATGCATGAGAGCATCAGCTGTTCCGGACGACTGTGTGGTCACGCTCTCCGTAGCCTATGTGAGCAAGACCTTTAAATAAGTCAACATTCACAAGGCTGCGGGGTCAGACGGATTACCAGGACGTGTACTCAGAGCATGCGCGGACCAACTGGCAAGTGTCTTCACTGACAATTTCAACCTCTCCCTGACCGAGTCTGTAATACCTACCTGTTTCAAGCAGACCACCATAGTCCCTGTGCCCAAGAAAGTGAAGGTAACCTGCCTAAATGACTACCGCCCCATAGCACTCACGTCGGTAGTGTAAGAATATTTGAAGATAAATATGCACAACGCAGAGGACTAGTGGACAAGAGGACTAGTGGTCAAGAGGACTAGTGGTCAATAGAGGACTAGAGGGCAAGAGGGAATTAACGATCAATGGAAATAGTTGTTTTTCAGTTCAACATCTGTTTAGAATCTTTGTGGCGGTTCCATCAGGGATTCATAGCTACATTTTCAAGTTTTCATTGGTCCAAATGGTCTATACATTGAGCATGAAACAGGATACTTGGGGGTTTGGCCAGTAGCCCAATTTTATTGCAAGGAATTCTAATTGGTCAGCCACATGCTATGCTTGAGGCTATAAACTACATCCTGTCTCTTTGTTCAGTGGAGAAACATGGAAAACAGGGAATAATTAACATCTACCATATACTTCCCAGCATAACAACTATGATTTGTTCTCTTTGAATAAATATATTTTTCTCCCCCTGATTTGCTTTGGGGTCTGTGTTATTGAAGAATAACATCAACTGCTAACAGTAGCCATGCAGTGCTTTGAAAGGCTGGTCAAATTCCACATCAACACCATCATCCTGGAAACCCTAGACCCACTCCAATTTGCATACCGCCCCAACAGATCCACAGATGACGCAAACTCAATCACACTCCACACTACCCGTTCCCACCTGGACAAAAGGAACACCTATGTGAGAATGCTGTTCATTGACTACAGCTCAGCGTTCAACACGATAGTGCCCACAAAGCTCATCACTAAGCTAAGGACCCTGGGGCTACACACCTCTCTCTGCAAATGGATCCTGGACTTCCTGACTGGGCGCCCCCAGGTGGTAAGGGTAGGCAACAACATATCTGCCACGCTGATCCTCAACACTGGGGCCCCTCAGGGGTGCGTGCTTAGTCCCCTCCTGTACTCCCTGTTCACCCACGACTGCGTGGCCAAGCACGACTCCAACACCATCATTACGTTTGCTGATGACACAACAGTGGTAGGCCTGATCACCGACAACGATGAGACAGCCTATAGGGACGAGGTCAGAGACCTGGCAGTGTGGTGCCAGGACAACAACCTCTCCCTCAATGTGAGCAATACAAAGGAACTGATCGTGGGCTACAGGAAAATGAGGGCCGAACAGGCCCCCATTAACATCGACTGGGCTGCAGTGGAGCGGGTCGAGAGTTTCAAGTTCCTTGTTGTCCACATCACCAACAAACTATCATGGTCCAAACACACCAAGACAGTCGTGAAGAGGGCACGACAACACCTTTTCCTCCTCAGGAGACTGAAAATATTTGGCATGGGTTCCCAGATCCTCAAAAAGTTATACAGCTGCACCATCGAGAGCATCCTGACCGGTTGCATCACCGCCTGGTATGGCAACTGCTCGGCATCTGACCATAAGGCGCTAGAGAGGGTAGTACGTACGGCTCAGTTCATCACCAGGGCCAAGCGTCCTGCCATTCAGGACCTATATGCTAGGCGGTGTCAGAGGAAGGCACAAAAAATTGTCAAAGACTACAGTCACCCAAGTCATAGACCGTTCTCTCTGCTACCGCATGACAAGTGATACTGGAGCGTCAAGTCTAGATCCAAAAGGCTCCTTAACAGCTTCTAACCCCAAGCCATAAGACTACTGAACAATTAATCAAATGGCCACCCAGACTATTTGCATTGACCCCCCCCCCCCCCCTTTGTTTTTACACTGCTGCTACTCACTGTTTATTATCTATGCATATTCACTTTACCCCTACCTACATACTGCATTGTTGGTTAAGGGCTTGTAAGTAAGCATTTTGGCGCATGTGACAAATAACATTTGATTTGATTTGAAATTAGATTGTATGGAAAGTATGGCAGAGTCCCAAATGTCACCGTATTCCCCAGCCCAATGGGCCCCGGTCAAAAGTAGTGCATTATATAGGTGTGCCATTTGGGACACAGATGCAATAAACAAAGAGCCATTATTCTGTAGGAGCTCCTTGTAAATCAGCCTAGGCAGAGCGTGTAGCTGGCTAATCCTCCCATGGGAGAACAGACAGAATAGCTTTATTATCTAAAGAGCTGAAGTGCCAGCAGACAGCCAAGGCAGTGGGCATCAGGACGATAAACACTTCTCCTGTTGTCGTTGGAGGGCCAGAGGCTCTACACTGGACACTACCCGCGCTAGCTGCACCTCGTAATGATACTGCTAATGGCTTTTTAATGTTGTAGCAGATATCAGATCTGCTAAGGGTGAGTGGGTGAGTGTGACTGGTTGTGTTTGGGTGAGAGGGAGAAAGTGTGTGTGTGTGTTTGTGTGTGTCTTTGTGCATGGTGTGTGTGTGTCTGTGTGTGTGTCTGTCTAGGTCCTGTCTCATTATCACTCTCAGTCAGACTTAGACTGCAGGCTGTGTTCAGTGAGTACAAACATACTCCTCTCCACGGTGGCCCGACTGTGTTCTCTCAATTTGACCCGGAACAGAGTTTGAAATCACTAAAATACTATTTAACATACATTTTCCACCATTCATCTATTCTCCTAGGTATGGATCTCAAACTTGTAAAACACGTCAATAAAACATTTATAACAATACATTAGTGACATTCATGATGTTCTGGGTCAAGAAACAAGCTGCTTGCTGCACAGGAATGGTGAAACCATGCTGATCAGAGGCTGAGCAACACTGATATGAAGTTGAGCTAAAACAGAATTTTGACAAATTATGATTTACGACGTCGGATCACCGATGATCTGACGGATTTATGACTATTTACATGCATCAAACATTTGGCTCTATCTTTGAACGGTTGGGTTTATCAACCCAGGGAAAAGAGCATCTGAAAGAGGACATTCTCTGCAACATTTAGATAAGGGAAACTGTACTTACTGTACTTTATGTGTTTACTGTACTTACAGTAAAAGAGTCTAGCGACAAATTCAGCTACTTCTCAGGCTGCCTTTGGGGAGTTTTGACATAGAGGGTTTGTATGTTTTTGATAGCATTTAGCGACTTTTCCCACTCAATGCTGCCTAAAACGACCGTGGGAAAAAGATGTATGTGCAACAGAAGTCACAGCAATGGTGCACTCACAGGCCAGAGAAGTAGAAGGGGAGGGGGAGTGCGGCGGGAGTTGGGACGAAAACGCTATGTCGGGTACTGCAGCTGTGCCGCAGCAAGACAAATTGGTGCTCTGACGTTGTCATGGCAATGGCAAAACGTAATCTAGCAACTTCTAGCGACAAATCAAGGAGCCAATAGCGATTCTCACTGAGAAATAGTTGGCAACATTGAATGTCTCTTCAAAGAGATCACATTTATTTTGGTAGACCGCAAAATAGAACTTCTACATTCAAGACAGGAGAAGTAAATTGTTTCAGTTGATGATAAAACACGTTTGTTTTAGTTACTTTTTTCTCAACTTGTTTCTATTACTTTCTAGCTCGACAAACTAGCTTACACAGAGTAGCTAGCTAGCTAGCCAGCTAGCTTTGAAGCCATTATTGCGGGGGGGGTGGAGACAAGCACAAAGACAGGTGAACCAGATCAGGGTGTGACATAGACTGCTTTCAAGGTAAGGACACAAACATTTTGTCATTTGGGTGAACTTTAAAATAGGGCTAATTTCGCATAATCACCCAACCTTGAAGAATCAATATTCAGGTGGTTTATGCCTACTAGTTGAAGATCCTTACCGTCATCTTACTCTACATAGACAAAATATGATGCGTTTATGAGTTGAGAGTCCCCCTACCATCTCTGCCTAGCATGTGCACAATACTAAAATGTAAACAGCATTTCATATCCAATGCTTATTTGTATGACTTATTTACAACTTTCCATGAATTGCTGCAAAAATACGTACTGTAGCCTCATATAATTAATTTTCAAAAGACACAAGGAGGCATGTTAGATTTAAAAAATTTGATTACACTGGCAAAATTGGGAAGAAGTGGAATAATATAATAAGTGTGGGGAATAACAGTAGTGTTCTTGCTGACAAGCACAGTAATTACCCTATATTTTAGCCCATTGTTAAGAATGAGAATTGTTCCACTGATCATACTAAATAAAGTAAATAGGTAATAAAAATCTGTCCTTACACCCTAACTAAATTATTTCTATGTATTGTCCCGCCTCTAGAATAAAACTTACAATTTTGGGTTCACAATGTTTGACTAAATTATTTTCATAGTTACAAATCAGGTCACTCTGCCAAACTTCCCTGCTAAAACATACCCTAAATCTGTCTGCTGCCTTTTCGTTGTGACAGCCTAAATGCCAATCACCAAACGAGGGGACAAATACAAGTGGGGATTAAATCGACTTTAGAACATGCTGTCAAAAGGTTGCATTCTGCAATAGGGACGGGAGTAACAGCAACCAAATTTTGTTGACAACATTATACATAAAACTGCGTTACTGTGCTACTCTTTTTACAGTTTTATAAACTCAGCGGAGAACGTTCTCTCTCTCCATTCAGCTCCACATTAATATTGAGGGGCGTATCTTTAAAACATGCATCCAATCCCCTTGCTCCCTTACATAACTAGACCAATCATATGCTTCAATGTGCCACGGTTCACAGTGCTGTGGCAAGACAGGACAATGATAGAGGTTCCGCATGTGATGTTAAATTGTAGGCGGAGACGCTCCAACTTCAAAACGATTTGGAGCACAGTTGAAAAGATAACGCACTGACTATACAATGGATTAATTAGAAAAATAAAAGCAGCACTTTTCAATGCGTGAGATATAAGAGGTGTGCCGTGAGAGCATGAGAAGAGGGTCAAATGCGTGAGAGTTGGCAACTCTGGGTTTGGATTTATCCCTGACCATAATACAATGGCTGCCATTTTCGACCATTCTGGAACTTTTAGGGTTTATGACATAGCTAGTAATTTAGTAGGATCTCTGTGGCTGTTCCAGCCTCATTAGGGAGCTGTGACACTTCCGTGACACGTACATCCCCCCTTGTAAAGTCTGTGATCAACATCCGATGGGTAATGTGGGCAGAATAACTATATCAATATTTAAACAGGGGGTGGGGAGGGTTGATGGGATGGTGGGGTGCCTGGGGACAGGAACACACAGGAAGTAGAGGAGAATGTCGGAGAGAGTGAGATCTGAAAAGCTTGGTATTGTGAATGCTGGGTATCATGTATCACGTCTGCAAGTGGTGGTGATTAGGAGGGAGAAGGGGATGAAGAAAGGTTTGGTAGAGAAATAAGGGAACAGGGTGGGTGGTTGTGGTAAGCTGGAATGCTAGGAAATATAGGCAGTAAGGACAGGAGGGATGCAAGTCCTCTGTTAGTTCCATGCCTGCTGCTTTAATGGAGGGTGGCATGAAAGACCAATGGACCAGAGGGAGAGAGGGAGGGAGCGGGGGAGATAAATAAAGAGAGAGAATATAGGAGACATTGTGGTTCAATTAGAGCCCCTGTTGAAGGAAGAGGCTAGGAGAGAGGGAACAGGGGAGAGAAGGAAGAGAGACATGATAAGAAATCTCAGTGTTAGGTTGTTTGGTGCCACATGGGGTTACTATAGGGGGTATATTGTGCGTATGTGGGTGTGTATGTGTGTTTGGAGTGTGTGTGTGCATGCATTGGCGTGTTTGTGTACACATGTACGTGTGTGTGAGTGTGCGTGGTCTCTCTCACTATACCGGTCTTGTTACTCTACATATTGCTAGTCAGTGACTAGTCTACTGGTCCTTTTAACAGCTGTAGCGTTATTGTTCCCAGTCAGTTTGATACAAGGTCAGTCAGAGGGCTGGGTTTTAATTAAAGTCCATTCAGTCACACATTACGATCAGCTGTAGCAGTTTATTACAGTCAGAGCTGCACAGAGCGTCAACGTAATCCACAATTGATTCCTCCCTCTGTTGTAACGCTCTGTGTCTCTCTGATCCTCTCTGAGCCTTCCTCTCTCGCTGTCATTTTTTTCTCTCTTTCTCTTTGTCTCTCTCTCTCTCTCTCTCTCTCTCTCTCTCTCTCTCTTTCTCTCTCTCTCTCTCTCTCTCTCTCTCTTTCCCTATCCTCTCCCCCATCTATTTCTCTTCCTCTCCTCTCTCCCTCCAAACCTCTCCTCTTTCTCTGTCTGGCTCTATATGTCTCTCACACCAGTGTCAGATCTAGCCTAGTGCTGAGAGCCATATAAATGACATAAAGATTACAGAGCCTAGAGATGACAGAGCTTAGATGTAACACATAGATATAATCTGTCATGCCATAGCTCAGTGGAGCCCAGTGGAGAGCCTGTAGAAGCTAAGGACAGCCAGTAGACCTAGGAGAGCCAAGGGGACCATTCAGCCTCTCTCATCATCTCACTGTGTCATTTCATTAGATACACACCCTTCCACTGATATATCACACCCGTCCCAGGCTACGGTGGCAAGTAGTTTAGCGGTTAAGAGCGTTGGGCCAGTAACCGAATGGTTGCTGGTTCAAATCCCCGAGCCGGCAAGGTGGAACAATCTGTTGTTCTGCCCTTAAGCAAGGTAGTTAACCCCCCAACAACACCTGCTCCCCGGGCGCCGATGACATGGATGTCGATTAAGGCAGCCCCCCGCACCTCTCTGATTCAAAGGGGTTGGGTTAAATGTGGAAGACACATTTAGGTTAAATGCATTCAGTTGTGCAACTGACTATGTATCCCCTTTCCCTGTGTCCACCATGAGGGTAAAGGTGGTCGCATAAATCGGTTCGGTTGGAACCTAGCAGAACTCGGCGAAGCGAACGTCTGTACTCGCATACTCTCTAAAGACATTCGCTTGAAAAATTGAAAAAAACTGCAATATTACTGTTGTTTGTCCCTCTTGGCCCACTGTAGCAACAGCATAGCCAGAAACAATTCCTCAAAATAGTCTAAATGAATCAAAGATGTATCAGGAAATCTGTCATTCATTTTGACATTGTTGCCGAAGAGGTCTTAGTCTTAATCTAACTAAGATGTTTGGTGCAGTATTTCTCAACTGAAAAAATGTGCATGAACACTAGTCATCTCTCATTCAATGACAAGAAACACTTCATGTTCCCAGTCCTACTAGGTGTAGTACTGTTGACCAATCACCGGCGAAGGGGCGTAGACTTCGGCTACCGAACTTCGACTTGCCTCAACTGTTTAGACTGGGAAGCATACGTTAAGCTTAAGAGTATCTGTGAAATGTGTGTGTGCATGTGTGTGTGTTTGTGTATGTCTGTGTGTGTGTGCGTGTGCTGATAAATCAGACCCATCCCATTCTAATAGCTGAACAGGGAAGCTACACCCTTTGTTCCTTCACTAAAAGCTTATAAAAGGTTATAAACATCAACTGTCTTTCAGGTAGTTTGAAACCCTCCCAGACAACTCCAAGGATGTTCTGTACTGTATGTCCTGTTTTATCTCCTTTATGGATTCCATATGCTTGAATAAGTAAGTGCTTCATGTCTTTGTGACCAGTAGACCCAAGGACCCAAGGATATGTATGTATTCCATCATTCTGATCTGTTGAAATCTGTCTGTATATTTGGCCTCAAGGTAACTATAACTTACTGCATACATCTAAACTGGACTGCTGGTTTTCTGTTCTACCTGATAAATATAATTGCACCCACCTGGTGTCCCAGGTCTAAATCAGTCCCTAATTAGAGGTGAACAATGAAAAAATGCAGTGGAACTGGCTTGGAGGTCCAGATTTGAATTTGAGGAGTTTATGTAGTTGTAAGAGTAAGCAGTAGTGCTATGATATTTATATGATATTGTGTGCAGTAACAGGGATGGTGATGTAAGAAGGTAGATTGGTGCTTTCTCTGCAGTTATATACAGTACAACGATATGCAGTGACAGGTAACAGTGATAGGAGACTTATGCTTAAGTTGTATGTAGTGACAGGCAGTAAAAAGGAACACCAAAAGGTAGTGGTGTTTACAGTCTACAGTCTACTGTATAGTATTGTCAGAAGGTAGTATTAGGTCTACTTACTCTACAGTTACCCAGCTCCTCTGCAGATAGAATTATGGTGCCACATTTCTTCCCAGCTATCCCCCTGTAGAAAACAGAGAAAGAAAGAGAGAGGAGAACACATGGTTAGGTTTAGCCAGGTGCAGGTGTAGTGTCTGTACAGCAGAGGTGCCAAGTTCCAGTCATCCAGGGCCAGAGTGTCTGGATGGGTTGCCACATATTGATCAGGGAAATGTCACCAGTTAGCTAGAGATGGAACACACCTGGTTGTCCAGGTCAGAATGAGACTCTGACTTGCATGTACCAGAATCGGCACGGTACTCTCTGTCACTGTCCATGGTGCTGAACCCAAAACCAGAGCGCAGGGTTGACAGTTGCTGTCCGTGGAGCTGAATAGCGCTCTCCTCTCTACTTCTCTTTTTAAACACCATCTGCCACCCTTCAGCAGTGCCTGCTCCTGTTCTTTCCCTCCGTTTAGAAGACATAATAACTGGACAGATTAATGTTATGATCCATATGATTCGTTTTATTAATGCCCTCCAACGAGCGTGTTATGAATGTCATCATTCATCACCAGCCAAATATGGTAATATATAAAGAGAGAGAGAGAGAGAGAGAGAGAGAGAGAGAGAGAGAGAGAGAGAGAGAGAGAGAGAGAGAGAGAGAGAGAGAGAGAGAGAGGAACACGACAGGCAGAGAGGAGAGAGTAGGAGAGGAGGGGAGGGGAAACACCTGAGGCTGAGTGAAAAACACCTTTCTGACTTCTCACTCACTCTATCTCTCTCTCTCTCTCTGTCATTTCTCCCCATCCCCCCTCTTTCTCTACCCTCTAGCCTTGACTGTGTGTATACGAGCCTCTGTACCAGCCCTCGTTAAAACCCAGCATGGATCCTCTACCAGACACTACAGGCTGCTTCTGCAATACCCCATCATTCCTCTGACCTTTGTAATAACCCAGCCATGAGAGTTACAGCCGCCATTAAAGTGAGTTGTTAGTGTGTGCTGTTCATTATGCTCTAGAGGGAAGTGGTGTGTGTGTGTGTGTGTGTGTTTGCTGCGTCAGTGTGTGTATGTGTGCATGAGTGTGCATTGGTGTGTGTTTGTGTGTGTGTGATGGCCCCGTGTAGCTCAGTTGGTAGAGCATGGCGCTTGCAACGCCAGGGTTGTGGGTTCGATTCCCACGGGGGGCCAGTATGAAAATGTATGCACTCACTAACTGTAAGTCGCTCTGGATAAGAGCGTCTGCTAAATGACTAAAATGTAAATTGTAAATGTCTCTCTGTTTGACCAGGGGGTTTAATGACAACGGAGTGGGTGTCTGCTAATTGGCTCATTCATCAACGGACGTCTCTCTGTGTGTCACGAGAGGAGGGGGCTGTATCTTATTAATGTGACAGGACTGAGTATGGGTGGCAGGGCAGGTTTTGTGTGTGTGAGTGTGTGTTATTCCCCAATATATCCTTACCCATCTCTCTCTTTGTCTCAACGTCTCTCCCAACATCCCCTCCCTCCTAGATGGTGGAGGTAATGAGGTGAAAAGGTCAGTGGTCCCTAAGGATCCCTTCAGAGCTACACTGCCAGGTCACTCAATGAGAGGAGAGGGTCAGGGAATGGATTTATTTATTCAATTAGTGCTCGATTCAGACTAAGGAAATGTACGCCTTTCCTATGCACTTCTCAGTGATTGGTATTCAGACTTACCTTATGTAGGTACGTAATGGGCTTTGCAGGCGTGATTCCCTTGCATGGGCTGAATAAATTGAATTCAACGCTGAAAATCCTCCCATTTGCTAGCAAAAATCGTTTATTGTTGTGTTTTCATTCAATAGGGTTTTCAGTACATTTATCTAAAGCCATCCCTTTAAATTTGGTGTACCTTTAATTAAAATTTTCTCGACAGACTCGCTAGAATATAAGGAGAGAACAGTTCTGAATATTAGGGATCAATGAAAGAAAGCCATGTAAACCAGTGGAGGCTGCTGAAGGGAGGACGGCTAATAATAATGGCTGGAACGAAACAAATGGAGTGGTATCAAACACATGGAAATATTTGTTTGATGTATTTGATACCATTCCACTGATTCCGCTCCAGCCATTACCACGAGCCCGTCCTCCCCAATTAAGATGCCACAAACCTCCTGTGATGTAAGTACACACGTATTCATCTCCTTTTCAGCACCAATGGGTAGATTTTAAAATAGTCTGATCTTGTAGATTATTTCGGGTGAGGAAAGGATGTATGAATCATACATAAACAGGGTTGGAGTGCCTTTAAACACAAAATATATTGATGAATCAAAAATACAGTTGTTTGATTCATCCTGAAAGTTGCCATATTTAATTGTTCAAACCATGAAATATTGGAAGGTGAGAAAAGTGGACAATAGCCCTATAAATCTACCCTAATCCTCACTAATCGCGGAACTGTGATGACAATGGTCCAGTCATCGTGACTCGTGCGCCAGGCTCAAGGTTTAAACTGCTATGTATGGTCTGCGTTCCATAATGATTCAAATAGGCTACATGTCCCAAATGATTGCACAACTTGTAATACGTTAGCCTAATATAATCCACTATTGCTAGCGATCCTCAGGAACAACCGTATAGATGTGACAGAGGAAAGAAAGGTAAACGAAAGATGTAATGGAATGATGCAAAACGTAGGCTACAAATTAAAGAAACTAAAAGTCACTGCACAAGTGACAGTTATTATCATGTATGTGGGTATTACTGATGGTGGCTACCGATAGTGGCTAATATTTAATATGTTATAAAATTGTTAAAATATATAAAGCACCAGTCAAAAGTTTGGGCACACCTACTCATTCAAGGGTTTGTCTTTATTTTTACTATTTTCTACATTGTAGAATAATAGTGAAGACATCAAAACTATGAAATAACACATATGGAATCATGTAGTAAGCAAAAAAGTGTTCAACAAATCAAAATATATTTGAGATTTGAGATTCTTCAAATAGCCACCCTTTGCCTTGCGTATCGCTGCAGAATGATGTGGTAGCCATGCTGGTTAAGTGTGCCTTGAATTCTAAATAAATCACAGACAGTGTCACCAGCAAAGCACCCCCACACCATCACACCTCCTCCTCCATGCTTTATGGTGGGAAATACACACGCGGCGATCATCCGTTCACCCACATTGCATCTCACAGACACATTTCCACCGGTCTAAAGTCCATTGCTCGTCTTTCTTGGCCCAAGCAGGTCTCTTTTTCTTATTGGTGTCCTTTAGTAGTGGTTTCTTTGCAGCAATTCGACCATGAAGGCCTGATTCACACAGTCTCCTCTGAATAGCTGTGTCGAAAAATCAAGCGGAGGTGGATAGTTTGAGTCTAATGGTTGATCGTTTTAGGGGAATATCCTCTGCAAAGGTAAATTGGGAAAAAAGTTGTGCTTTACAGATTGGAGAATGGTCTGGAGGGATCATGGCTTTGCCAGGGGGGCTGGAATGGTGTAAGGGAGGTTTTAAGTATCTTGGAGTGTACCTAGGAGATGAGGGGACAATGGAAAACAATTGGATTGATGTGGTTGAAATGGTGGAAGGGAGGATGAGGAGAATGAGTTGGTTGTTATCTCGTATGTAATATAGGGGGCGCACTATTATAGTTAACAATGTGATTGCCTCTGCACTGTGGCATCGGTTTTCAGTTTTAGAGCCACCATCTGGCCTTCTGGCTAAGATACAGGCGTATATTGTAGATTTATTTTGGGATAAATGTCATTGGGTTCCACAAAGTGTTTTGTATTTGTCAAAAGAGGAGGGAGGACAAGGTCTTGTACATCTTGCTAGTAGGGCTGCTGCTTTCCGGTTTCAGTTAATTCAAAGGTTGCTTTATGGACCGGAAAATGTGGTTTGGATAGGGGTGGCAGGTCTTGTATTACAGCAGGTTGGGGGATTAGGTTTAAAGAAGGCTTTATTTTTGGTTAATAGTAGCCAGATTTCTAGGGAGGGAGTACCTCCGTTTTACAGAGGCCTTCTTAGGGTGTGGAGCATAATGAAGGTGTCCAGACGCACTTCAGCGGAGTCAGTGCATTGGCAGTTGGAGGAACCTCTGGTGTATGGGGCAAGACTGGATTGTACAACTGCAGCTGTTCCACATTTCTCCAAGATTCTGGTGAAGGGCAAAATCATCACCTTTAAACAGTTAATGGCCATGGCTGGGCCCGCCTTAATGGATGGAAGACAGGTGGCTGAACATTTGGGGGTGAGGTCGGAAAGGATTGTCGGACAACTGCTGGGAAGCTGCAGGAAGGCTCTGTCAACAGAAGAGTGGGGTATGCTGAATAGTCACAAGAAGAAGGTACAAGATGAAAACGTCTCATTTCCAAGACTAGGGATTGCACCCAATATCCCAGAGTCAGAAAGAAAGGCGTTATTACTGTATTTGAGAGGGTTGGAAGAGGTGGGTTTGGATGAGGTGAATGGGAAATACTTATATAGGGGTTGTGTCAAGGTATTGAATAAAGATACATTGAAAAATAGAAAAGACACTCCATGGAGGGTAAAATTGGGCATTGACGACAAGGTAAAGCCAGCATGGAGAGCACTGTACAAGCCACCGTTACAAAAGGGTACTGGTGATATGCAATGGAGGGTTTTGCATGGCATCATTGCAGTTAATGCTTTTGTATCTGTTATTAACTCAGATGTTGGAGATGGATGTCCTTTTTGTAATATAAGATAAACTATTTTTCACTCTTTTATGGAGTGTGAGAGGATAAAACCTCTCTTGGAAATGCTGGAGTCTTTGTTTAAAGCTGTAGGGGAGATTTTCAATAACACTAATTATTTTGGGGTTTCAATATAGTAAGCAACAGAAAATAAAATGTAAACTGTTAAATTTTATTTCGGGACAAGCTAAGATGTCAATTTTTCTGAGTAGGAAACATAAGATAGAAACGGGATATGGGCAGGATGTAAGATGTGTTTTTAAAGGATTAGTGAAAGCGAGAATAAAGTGGATTTTGAGTTCTTCTCGGCTGTAAAAGATCTCCCATGGTTTGAGGAGAAGTGATCTTACGAAGGAGCGGTTTGTTTTGTGGAGGAGGGGAAACTATTTTTTGTTGATGAAATGAGTTGAATGTATATATATGTTAATTTTTTTATTTTATTTAGGAATGACATTTGTTGTTTCATTTCTGAAAAGTCAGTGTGCCATTATTTGTGTTAACACTCTCTCTCTCTAATACAATACAACACAATACAACTTCATGGTCCTTGGCCACCCTGGACAAAAGGCAGCTTGAGAAAGGTAAACACTCAGATAAGGTTAGAAAGACATCAGAAAACAGTTAACTGACTTGACATTTGAAAGGTTACATTTTGTTGCACTTTGTTGTGTGTGTGTTTGCCCACCTGCCGGTATTACCCATAACTCCACGAGGACTGAGCAGCTGTATTTTATGAATATGT